GAGGGCTTAACAACTAATTTACACTCTCCTAAACACTTAATATCTGATTTATACTTTTACTGTAGCAGTTTTAATTCAAATCGAAAACTTGATGAATTTAAGCATAATTTTTTTTCTCAAAAGTAAAAGTTCGGTGTTATAGTGATATCCATTATCGTATCTTACCCGCACAGAGCACTAGCAAACTTATATTAACTCCTTCTGGTAACAGGCCTCATAAAAGATACTTGGGATCTGTATATGGGCATTTTTACAATCCTGGGCTCCTTTTTTCCCACCAAGGGTCAAAAATAGAAGTCATTATTGTGCTGAAATTTGTACTTTTCTTGAAAGTATAGACCTGAAGGGTATAAGAAATGACAATCCCGAGATAAAACCTTGTGTATGTATAAAGATATGATTATTTGAATTTTGAAAACCATTTTTTTAATTTTCATAAGCTAAATCTTGAAGTGTGTGACTTTTATGATAATTTAAGGTATTGATCTCCAAAAAACCACTTAGTTTTACTCAGAGAGTATTGCTCTTTTATGTATTTGCAAAAAAAAAAAATGGATGAAAATATCCAAAATTTGACGAATCAATGATATTTTGTAATTTTCCCGTTTCAGTATTGACTGTGACTCCATGAAGTTATTGATTCTGAGATATTCTGAGGACTTCTGTACTTCACTTTACCCTGCATTAGTTCTTTACGTTATGCTTCATGATTGTGTAAAATATTATTTTGCACGGACATGTGTGCTAATTGCAGTGTCATGTTAAAATAAATGTCCTTTCCGAAACAGGGATGTTTCGGAAAGGACATTTTTTAAAAACATTTAGGATATTGTTTTAATATATTGTAGTATTTGAGTTTATAAGTTTGAGGTAAAGTCTATGAATAACTGGGCAAAATAGGTGTAAGCTGAACTAAAAGTGAAGTCTTTTTATTAAATTTTGTGCTTGTTTTGTCTATTCTGTACTAGTAATTCATTACTGGAATTTTATTTTATTAAATATTGATTCTGAGATATATTCCAGGTATTCTTTATGCCATTATACCTTATTCCAGTTTCTTTTGTTACAGTTCATAGCTGTATAAAATATTATTTGACAATGTCAGATTTACCAACAGTAAAGACATGTTTAAAGATATGTCCTTTTAGACATGTCCTTGTTTTGGAATGGACATTTATTTAACATTTATGAAATTGCCTTAAGATCTCATAGTATGTTGGTTTACAAGGTACAGGTGAAGCAATCATTGGACAAAATATGAGTTAACTAGATTAAAACTGAACTGTTTTTGTTACATTAATTGGTCATTTGGGATAGTTTTTGATTCATNCCAAAGGATATTGCCATGCCCATTCCTATTAATTTTCTGTACTTTGTTCCCACCAGTTCCATACCTAGTGGTGCGAAAGGGACGTAATCATTGGCACGTAATCCACTTTAAAATTCATATGCAGTTTGTCAATTGATTTTCACCTTGAAATAGCAATGCATTTTAAAACATATTTTGGTCATCATGGACAACATAGGCCCGGGTACTCTAGTGAGTTATACGGCCTGCACTTTAATAAGAGATAGGAGGTCTGTTTGCTCAAAGATGTGTCACAGTTTAGAAAACGAAATAACTGCCCTTACTCACCCATTGTATAAAGTGATATGTACATGCTGGAATCACTGGCACCTTGAATAACATAGAGGATACAGAAAACCGCCATATTAGGAGAAAACGCTAACCCAATACCAGAGGCTGCCAATACTACAACACTTCCCAAGAAAATAGGCCTACGTCCAAACCTGAAAAACTGTGTAGTTTATTTCTCGTGGCAAAACTTCCGCTCAAACACAGGATAGTTTAGACCGGAAATCTTACTTAATGCGCCATTGGCACCACATCGTGTATTACGGTAAACAGGAAAACAGTAACATAATGCAAGAACCCAACTGTATTGGAGTAAGGTTATCACAGAATGACATATTTTGTTTAAGAGATATTCAAAGGTGTGAATGCAGCGCTAGATTTTATTGCCCATATTATAAAATTATACGTGGCGTGGTTGATAAAATATCAATGCATTTGAACTAAACGTGTTTTTACAGAAATTTATTGCAAACACTTAATTGATATTTACTTATGAAAGGATATATAATCTAAAAACCCGATCATGCACAGAAAACTCAACTTCTGGAATTATTGATCATCCTTTCAAGTGACAAAGAAGTGCAAAATGCCCACCCCAGTTTAAAAAGTGTTCTTCAAATATGTGCTTTCTTAGCAGTTGAAGAAATGTCCATTTGAAATAACATGTACAAAGTATTACGTTACCTGTCTGAGAGAATCCCTGACACCAAAATTGCCACCAGTTTACCTCCAAAGAAAACGGAACTGCACGTGCTCAGCTGCCACGCGTTGTCGCACGTGAGGTCAAACTGAAAATATTACGTGGAACAAATGGGTATAAGAGAATAAATGAACTGAAACCTTTTAGGAGACTAATTTAACAGCAGGAAACTTCTAATTCACTGTGACATGAACGCGCGTTTGAATTACATTTGGTATATCGATCGAAGGGCTTTAATTATCTTGGTCTTTGCGTTATAAACAAGATTGTTTGGTGACGTTTCTCTAGTTATTGCTAATGTTCGAGATGAAAATGTAAAAGGGGCATTTAATAATTTTTTAATTGAAATGAATAAACAGGTGCGGCAAGGTCGCGGTGCACTTTGAACAGGCAAACGTCATGTCTTTGTGGCCATATCTACCTCGGAAACAATGGTGGCCTGATACTCGTCCGTACTGTAGTATCTGCCAACAGGACATGGGTACGTCTCCTGTGATTTCCAAACAGTGCTATTCCACAGACTATCCGAGGAGGTTGTCAAATTCACCGTCTGCGCATACTCAACATCACTCTCTAAAGAGGTAGTCATAAGACGCTGCAATATTCCGGAAGTGGAAGAATTTGCTGCAGTTATATTTTGAAACACGGAAATAGAGCCGTTGGTTAACGTTATATCCATGCGGTATAATGCACAGCCATTTCGTTTGCCGTATTTCGTATATGGCACGTTCATGTCTAGAAGTTGCTCTTTTGACAAGTTCCCATACGTTCTTGATACATACTCTAAACGTTCCTGGGGTATTTTACAATGATGGAAGGGCTCCGCACCGTAGAAGACCACCCCCAGTGTAGATATCACAGAGTAAAAAGCGACGACGCATATTAAAGCACATCTTTGCTTTTGATAGGTTCCGAATTCTCCCAAAATCTTCAAGAAATCGTCGAAGTTCATACTCGTTGAAGCACAGTCGCGCGCGCCTTTGAATAAGGACTGTGAAAAATCCCAGTTTGAAAATGTACCAAATCAACTACAACCAGGCGCAGAGATTGTGATCCCAGTTGAACTCGTTAGGCCTGAGGGTATTCAGGTCTAAACCTTCACCTTGATTTATATCACAGTGGGAACCTCCTGGAGACAAAGAAATGTCACAGTAATTGAATATCGATTTTTTTTGTATGGCTCTCTTAAGGACTACACATAGATATGAGTCCTAATGAGCTTTTGTTACTGCCTTGTTTCTTTAATATGATGCCAGGTGGTAGATATTTTGATAAAAAATATTTAAATAAGGTGTCAGCGTAGGAAAGAATATCGAAATCCTTAAAAAAATTATCCAAGTGAAAATATTATCAGCACACTCGCACTTTTATGCGCTTGTTTCTTACTATATTTTAATATATTTAAATATAATTAAAATTACAACAAAGTACAACAAACCTCCCAGGTAGATACTACCTCTACAGTACCCGGTTTATGAACAGCAACATCTCATTGCTCCGCACTGCAGTCTGGATCATCTAGCACGACTTGAACTGTCACCCACGTCGGATTTGCATGCGTACATGTACATGACGGCGCGTCACACAGATTCTGTAATGTAAATCACGTGACATCTGAAGAAAAAACCGACAGTAAGAGCAGGGGGCCTGTTTTACATTAGGTCTTAAGTCTGTTCTGGGGTTAAGACCTCATCTTACATGTATAAAAACTAAGCGAAATGGGTTCCGCCTCACAAAGAATCTGAAATTAAAGCCCGCTCACCTCGCTTTTTACGGTCTTTTAACTAAGCTCCTTATTAGCAAATGGGTGTTTATCTCAGTGGCAATACATGTTACAATGTAGTAGATTCTTTAATTAACAGTTTTTATTTCATGAAAACTATTTTTTGTGAAACAGACACTGGGTGCCAAGTTAAGTTACATGTACCTGCTTTATGACCGCACTGCACAACCTTAGTGTAATCCATGCGAGTATGTCAATTTAAAGGGCGATATAAAGCCGTCAATACCTCTGCAACGGAGAAATAAACGAGAACGTATAACGCCATGCAAGTCCACTTACATCCATACATCGAAAACAGCAAAACCACATAGCCAAACATACTGCATGTCTTAAAGACAATTTTATGAAATGAGGCATCTAATACCTCGGCCCTAAAGACAAGTATCCGCTTGATTGATCGAGTTAATGACCTAAAAAAAGAAATAAGGTTACTGAGGTAAGATTTTCACTGTGATACGGCTAGTTTGACCTTTACGACACCTTGTTGTTTAGTCATCTCGGCAATAATTCTGGGTCATCTGCGATAACATGAACGCAAACATTCTCAAATCCGATCAAGTGTACTGTTTCCTTTGCATTTTTTCTCCAGCGCGACAGTTAAGAATCGTGTCATGAATTAGCCTGACAGATATCCGTGAATTTCAAGTGAAAAATCAGTCTAAAAAACAACAATAATAACATTAATTAATTAAAACGCAACAAAGGAAAAAACAGTGGACATTTCGCAGCTTGCCGATCACAAAAAAAGAGCTAGACGTTCACTAAGACATCAGGGAACTGCCACCCCAAATAGGTGTTTCAGTATATTGAGTCTTAAAATACACGTAGATTACCTTTGATCAAGGCTTTAGACCATTTTTTTAAAAATATGTTAGTGTAACTACGTTTTACTTGGTGCTTAGTATATACCTACTCTGCATGTGCTACGGCAGGCCTACTGTACCTCAAATCACGGACAAAATAATTTTGTCCATGCTCAAATTACATCATAAACAGCAGGTGGGGTTAGCCTCATCGGGTAAGCTACAGCCTCCCCTTGCGTTCCCGTCTAAACTTACGCAATAGCAAAACTAACATACCAGTACACCCAACATAGAAACAGAAATTCAAATCCAGAAAACTGTAAGTTTAAAGACGTTAGTTTGTCTTTTTCTCTTGTGAAAATGAAAGCATTAGTTTATTCAGAAAGCATGCGTGCGTAAGTGTTATCACATCCTGTAAATGAAAACTGGACGAAATATTTCATTTAACGTCATGCCACACGTGATGACGGCCCATACTTACTCTTACGTCTTGTGGTAGGTTTAGATATACTAAAATAATGATGCTTAGGTCTAAATGATGTCAATGTGCTTCCATATGAAGTTAGCCATAGATAGTGGAACACGCAATAAACCTGTACTCCGCTGGGTTGACTATTTCGAGAATACAGTTTTAAAAAGGTAGGCCGTTTATTGTCCCACAACCGCGTTTTTTTACTCAGATTCGTGGTACTACTTGGATAATATCCTCGTTCGGTGCTTCAGATTTGACCTAGATCAGTTCTATTCTAAATCTCTGTTTGAACGCCTCTCAAAACAGCGAGACTGTATATAGATGAAATGTACACAAGGCAGATGTTAATATCCTGTACATCGACCTATTTAAGCTGTTATGCAAAAGCACGGTAATCGTGCAGTGGCTGAATAACAGAATAACAGTCGCGCATAGAGCAGAGAACGTGTGAGGTGTACGCATTACAGGACACAGGTTGGTTTTCTGCACATGTTCAATGTGAACAGTTTGTTTGGTTTCATTCATATGGTTTATTTAATATCGGCAGTGCACATGCGTCGTTGCTTCAGTTAGTTGGAATTATATAACGGAATGAATGAGGGTCTTGTTTACTTTCAGAGAGTTAAGCCCGTGTTAAATTTGTGCTGTTTGAAGTTTTCTAGTTTTTGAAGAGGAAGTAACAGAGAAAGTTGCTCTGATAAGCATGCCCTGTTCTTGATCCGAGACTAAATGTAACAAGGACATGTTTATTTACATTAAATCATTCATTTACTTGCCATGTGATGGAATTGAAACACGAGTTACGAAGTACAGGTATTTCATTTCATAGCTCCCACGACATCATAATCTAGCTGATATGCATTTCGACGAGTTTCTAAAGATCCTTGGACAATTTGGGACCTACCAGAAGCAGAGGTATAGCCTCATCTGCCTTGTAGCCTTGTACTCTGTAGTCTCAATGTTTGGAATTGTATTCTACGGTGTAGTACCTCAGCATCACTGCAAGATTCCCCAGCACCACGTGGAACATGTAAACAGCACAATCGGCACCGTGACGTCAGAAACCCTGCTTCGTATCACTGTACCGCACAATGAAGATGGCAAACCCAGCAGCTGTAGCCTATATTCTTTAAATGACTTGTTTTTTAATAGAACAGGTTTTGAAAATGATGTCGTGCCATTCAATAAAACAGCTTTTGTTCAGTACCATATATCTGCCGCAAACGTTGCGTACAAACTTAATCAAACACCTGATGATGTGAATCGTTATCGTTGGTCAAACAAATCCGTTCAAACAATGGAATCAAGGGATGGTGGTGAAATTCTTCAAAGTGACAGAAGAAGAACCCAACCCTGCCCAGAAGGACGAGTGTACAGCACAGACGTCTACCAGTCCACAATAGTATCAGAGGTATGTTTAAAGAGACAGAAACACCAAATCCACCTACCTTAAACAGTTCTTCACTTGGACAGACCCGCATTTCTGCATGAAAACCCCAGTATCAGATCCGTAAGCATATGTGGAGCATTACAAAGATGCGTTTTGCAGGGAAAAAAACAGCCATCGTGAAAAATTGAACATACAATGCACGTAAAAAGTTCCCATCTTCACTACAAAAGTGATTCAAAAACGACAAACTTAGAAGGTAAAAAAAAGGATTAATAGTCCGTTTTTGTGTCAACAGAATTGGATGAGCGATGACATTTTCAGAAACATCTCTTTTTGCTAGCTACTTCCTCTTTTCAGTTCGATTTGAGCTGTGAGAATAAATGGCAGCTAAGAACAACAACCTCTGTATTCTTTGCTGGGAAACTAGCTGCAACGTTACTGTCTGGGATGGCGGCTGACAGGTATGTATTTCGCTGCAGTACCGTCGCTTAAAATTTCTGAAGTCATGCTTACCTATGACCGGTAAAGGCTGCAACTGGTTCATGCTTTACACAATAACATACAGTTTGAGAGATATAGGCCTACAACTAAATAACCTGGCTATCACGTAAGACAATCACAGACCCCCCGCGCTCATCCTGATTTATTTTGATTAGTACATAAGAGCTTGTGAAAGAAAAAACTCTTCATTTCCAGTAGCGTAATTCTTTTGTGTCACGTTCCAGGTTTGGCAGGCGTCCGGTGTTCTTAGTGGGAATGATTCTGCTAGCATTGTCAGGTGTGGCATTAGCGTTCTCCCCTAACATGATCGTCTTTACGGTGCTGTATGTGATACAAGGGGCAAGCGATGCCTGTGTATTCCAGTCCATCTACACTCTTGGTAACGACATTTTTTCACTTTGTCCTATTACTTTTATTTTAGGACTTGTAATTACATTTGAACGATATAAGATGGGCACAGTTTTCAGGGCCGTAGCCTGAGCAAAATGTCAGGGGGGCAGTAAGGGCCCCTTTACACTGGACGGCGTTTTTTCTGCGTCCAGCAGGACGGCCCCATTTGAGAGTTACAAAATTGTAATACTTCACGTGCCGACAACTGGCCGATCATTGAGCATTCATTCTGATACAAAATCAATGCTCGTGCCTCCTTATTAAGACCACAGCGATGCCAAATTTCATGGTCGCAGAAAGGACGCAGAAAGGACGCCGTCCAGTGTAAAGGGGGTATAAGCGGACACGAAGGGGCGAAGCCCACGAGGGGGGAGGGTGTGGTAGGGGGTGTCCCCCTCCCACGGTGTGGAAAATTTTTAAAAACTGTGTATAATACTGCNAACACAACACGCAATTGGACTCCCTGCAGCTGCCCCCCCCCCCCCACCCCCCGGAGTCTACGGCCCTGGTTTTGTATAAAGAAAGTATACATGTAGTCTACTTTTGGAGTTGGAGAAGGAATTAATACCAGGGAGAGTGGGCCAAAAAGCGCACTCTCACGTCTGCAGAAGCATGTTTTGTGCACATACTAGTAGCCTACTGTCAAATCCACCAAACTGCACCATTTAACCTCCGCCAAGGAGGTGCTAGTTTGCCTTTGTAGGTTTCATGCATGATATTTTGCATCCGCCACCAACTTAAATCTCTTCTGATCTGTTTTGATTTTTTCAGGTATGGAATGGGTGGGCCCGAAGAAGAGACGAATTGCAGGGATGGGGATCAGCATCTGTTTTGGACTCGGTCATTCTATTTTGGCATTGGAGGCGTACTTTCTCCGTAATTGGCGCCATCTAGCGCTGGTGGCAAGTGCTCCGGGAGTAATATTCATAGCATTCTGGTTGTACGTAACAGTTAACGGTGACAATATATAGCTATATTTTTTCAATCGATATTAAGGTAGCATGGAATAAGATAAGGTAAGATAAAAACTGGTTTTGAGAAAAAGAGCTAAGGGCAAAATTCACGGTTTGCTACAACTTTTTAAAAATCTTTTTTCATACAAACAGTAAAACTTTTTTTAACCCTCAGTTACAAAACGTATTCAAGGTATTTTCATAGCTAGCACATGCATTTTCTTACCATTACCGTACTGGAAACAGAATCCAAATGCTAGTAACATGTACAGAAAAGACTTGTAAAAGTAGTTGTCATTTTCAGCTTCTTCGGGGAATCTGTACGCTGGCTTCTTGCACGTGGGCGTTATGAAGACGCTAAGGCTATCATAGCCAAAGTAGCCAAGACAAATAAAGTTGAATTGGAAGACAGTGTGTGGGAGAGTTTGTTCAAGGAGAAGAGCGAAGTGAAGCAGACGACACATACTTTTATTGATTTGTTTCGAACCTGGAGGAGAGCGGTCATGACAACTACCCTTGTTTTCGTTTGGTGAGAAATAAAACACTGATGATAAAATTTATATATATTCCATGTTGAACATTACAAAATGTGTGACATAAATACGCGTTCTTCGAAAAGATTGTTGACTTATCAGTAGCAAATTTGTAACAAGACATAAAATTTCATTATCTCTAAAAATTTCACCCAGGTTTCATTGATGTCAAACATCTATGTGGTGTTGGGAGCAATAGCAGGGCCGTAGCCTCCGGGGGGGCAGGTGGGGGCAGCTGCCCCCCCTGGGATTTGAGGTTAAAAAAAAATAAAATAAATAATAATCGCAAAGGTAAAAAAAATAATTGCAAACTTGGTATCAATTCTGTGAGAAAATGCACTCATGGCCACTAGACAATCATTCAACAATCTAGGGAGGGGGACACCCCCTCCCCCCTCGGGGGCTTCGCCCCCTCGTGTCCGCTTACTGCCCCCCCTGGCATTTTGCTCAGGCTACGGCCCTGAATAGTCATAAAAAGGCATCAGTAAGCATCGGTCATTAAACAGCCCGTCACATATACCTCAGAATCAGATGATACGTTATTTCTGACGATCGTAATCTTGCGTTAGACCTAGAGAGTTTCTAACAATGTACACCGCTGTTATTTGTTTATTTCAGGTTTAGCAGTAATATAGGTTACTCTGGCTTAGCATTAAACGCCGAGGGGTTGGGTGCCAATGTATACCTTAATTTTGCTTTGCTTGGCGCTGCAGACGTTCCAGGGATGGTGCTGTCTATGTTTCTTCTAGACAAAATTGGAAGGAGGAAAATAATCTTTTTTTCTATGTGTGTTGGTGGAGTTGCTTGCGTATTGACCGGAGTTATACCTAAAGGTGAAACATTTTATTAAAAATATGTACGAGCTACATTTAGGAATGGAATAGTTCTATGAAATGGCAGCACACAAAAGTCAACATTTTTGGTATGCATACGTGTTTTTAATTAATGATTATATAAGAATGCTTTACCCAGTTACTGATTACACGGAATCAAAAGATATAGATTTAACAAAAAATACCCTCTGAATACCCGAGTATGAATAATTCATTGTGACCAACAGAGAAATAACAAATACCAGATTCTCCAATATGACAACATTCCTTTATGATAGAATCTTTGTACTTTTTAGATATGCAGTGGTTGGTAGTCACATTGGCACTCATTGGTAAAATGATGATAGGAGGCGGGGGAGCTGTAATCTGCATGCTAGCGGCTGAGTCTTACCCAACAGTTATTAGGTCTGTCTGCCTCTCTGACAATGTGGCTCTCTGCCACAATTTATCCATTTCTTTCTCACAAGAAAATGGCGAATACTGCATATAAGCTTGTCGTTTGTACATTTTTTTCTTATAGGGTATATAACAAAAGAGCTCTCTACCTTTTCTTAGAATTTCAGCTGGAAGGGTTTGCTTCACGCACAGTAAGGGAGACATACATATGTGTACTTATACAAATTATGCGCACTTTTCAAAGCTGTTGAAAATTATAGTATAATCCTGCATACAGATGAACCACGAATGATAATACACGTGTTCTTTTCAGAAACGTGAGCCTTAGCTTCGCCGCCTCGATGGCGCGTCTGGGAGGAGTTGTCGCACCTCAAATCTTGCTTCTAAGTCAATTCTTCAAGCCTCTTCCATCTGTCGTTTGGGGTTGTACGGCCATATCTGCCGGAGTGATGTCATTATTTTTGAGGGAGACATTAGGGAAGCCGTTGCCTCAAACAATGGAGGAACTGGACGTTATGCTTGCAGAAAGGAGGTAAAATTTACACCGTTTTGCATTTTTTGTAATTGTCGTTTTAAATGTATGACAGTCTTTGCGCTGAATGGCATTCGTTTACTTCGAATCTTTCAGAATCAACACACCAAATACGATTTAATAAGCGAATTTTAATATTGACAAAAAAGAAAGAAAGGAAAGAAAAAACGGCTCTTAAAGAAGATAAAATATTTATTGGTTTTCTAACGTTGTTAAAGCATGACAACAGGTGTCATTTTTATTAATAACAATAAACACGTTTTAAATTCAACAGCATGAAGTTCTGGAAAAAGGTACCACAAAGCGACGAAGCGGCAAAGGAGACAGAAATGCAAGCCATGGATGCCTGATGTCCAGTGTAATTTAAATCTCTTCAAATTGTTATATCGACTTCACTCAAGTTTATCTATATAATTTTATACAAGCAAGCCGCAAATTTTAATTTTAATTTGACTTAAAAGTTAGGATTAAATTTTGTTCTCATGTTTTTGCTACTCGTTTTTGCTACTCGCACATGGAAGGTGCTGAAGGCGCAAGTACTCGTTTACGCTCAATGCTAACAGACAAGCACAGTGGTATGGGCTAGCTGTCTTAATATAGTCATGTCTTCCCTTGACACGTCTCCCACTTCAAAACATCGTGACATCGCCAGAGACTGGGCAGATAAACCAGTATTACATTAGTCCATTTTTGATAACGTTATGAAGAGGGTATTTCCCCTGGCCACATCCGGCACCACTAAAGTCATCCAAGGCGTAATCCCACGTGAAGGCGCCAGCATAACCTTGGGCTTTTATCCATTCCACCTAAAACGGAGCGCTTTTATCTATATGTGTCTAACGATGGAAAAGCGACTAGTTTATCACTAATCATCACATTTAAATGTGTGCAAGAATTACTGGCGTTTTTCACACCACTGATTGACAGTGCTCTACCACTAGTTCTCGTCCTTCGAAATATGAAATGTGCTTTTTTTCATTTTCAATGTTTTTTTTTTTTTTGTTTTTTTTTTGCATCAAGGTAATTTGTTCAAATGGTGTTGTTGGCCTTTACTATGTTACATTTAACTTCTTATCCTTATCCTCACAAACAAAAAATAAATAACAAGACATACCGCAACCAAGACAAAGATTTTTACGTGAATAAAGATATTTTTAAAAATCCTACCTTGGTTTTCAAACTTATCTGATTGTCAAAACTAATCCACTCCATTCCTCCATATTGAGCCTTTCCATAAGCGTACGGCACCTTGGCTGTATCGTCCATGACATACTTATAGCCTTGCTTTAAGAGGCTGCAAATCTAAAGACAAAAATTTGAAGTGTCAGGGGCAGATCCAGGATTATTTTTAGGGGGGATCCGACAGGCCTCGGATGCAAAGCCGACCCTCCCC